TGCCAATATCTCTCACTGTGGATTCTGCCCGGGAAAACACAACTTAGCTGACTGTCTGCGTTTTAAAGCAGAGTCGCATGATTGTAAAGTTGAATTTTTGAGAAGTCACGGATATTGCTTTGGTTGCCTACTTAAAGGTCATTTAAGCAAAAATTGTAAGAGGAGACTAACATGCCAAGTTTGTCAAATGAAACATCCAACAGTACTCCATATTAAAAGTGTAAACGTTTCAAAGCAGGACAGTCAAACGGAGATTGAAGAAACTCCCATAAGTAGTGCTCTTGTTTCAGCAGGTGATGTAAACGGGGCCGGGAAAGATTGTGCACTAGCCATTGTGCCTGTCCGTGTTAAGGTGGCAAAAGGGGACAAATATATTCAAACCTATGCTTTCCTTGACCCAGGCAGCACGGCAACGTTTTGTACTGAAAGATTGATGAACCGGCTAAATTTGAAAGGACGCAAAACAGAGATACTTCTGCGAACAATGGGACAGGAAAAGCCTGCAGGAACCTACGAGGTTAGAGGACTAGAGGTGGGAGGTATTGATGGCTGCACATACTTGGACCTGCCGAAAGTTTACACACAGGATAAAATACCTGTCTCAAAAGAAAACATCATCACACAAGCTGACCTGGAGATGTGGCCTCATCTCAGGAGTGTCCCTTTAAAGAAAATCGAGGCAGACATTGAACTCCTCATTGGAACTGATGTTCCTCGAGCATTAGAGCCATGGAAAATAATAAACAGTCATGATAATGGACCGTATGCAGTGGAAACGGTACTTGGATGGGTGGTAACTGGACCACTTGGTGTTGATAGTACCACAGAATATGATGGGCCTATTGCAGTGTCCAGTAACAGAATTTCTGTTACTGAATTGAAGGATATGCTCATCAGACAATATAACCAGGATTTCTCTGAGAACCTGTATGAAGAGAAAAATGAGATGTCTGTTGAGGATAAGCGTTTTATGGAGATTGCTTCTGGCTCATTGTATATGAAAGATGGACACTACCACCTACCACTTCCTTTTAGAAACAAAGATAAAGTTATGCCTGATAACTATAAAATGGTTAAGGAACGCACACTGCACCTTATGAAAAAATTTAAGAAGGATAAGTTGTACACAGAAGAATACACATCCTTCATGGAGGACATTTTGAAAAAGGGCTATGCAGAAAAGGTTCCATTTGAGCAACTTTGCAGGAAGGATGGACATGTCTGGTACATTCCACATCATGGTGTTTACCATAAGCGAAAGCACAAACTGAGGGTGGTGTTTGACTGTACATCCTCATTTCAAGGAACCTCTCTGAACAAGGAGCTCCTCCAAGGCCCTGATTTAACAAACACCCTTATTGGGGTATTGTTAAGGTTTCGCCAAGAACCCATTGCAGTAATGGCAGACATTGAAGCAATGTTTTATCAAGTCTTTGTTGATGAAAATGACAGAGATTTGCTGAGGTTTCTGTGGTGGCCAGAAGGTAACATTAACAAACCTCTTGAGGTTTACAGGATGAAAGTTCACCTCTTTGGCTCTGTATCATCCCCAAGCATTGCTAATTTTGCTCTGCGTCAAACTGCTGCTGACAACCAGAAACATTATTCTGATGAAATTATCAAAACCATTAAAAGTAACTTTTATGTAGATGATTGCCTCCGATCAGTGGCAACAGTGAACCAGGCAATGAAGCTTGTCACAGATCTCACCAAAATTTGCAGTGAGGGAGGTTTTACATTAACAAAATGGGTCAGCAACAGCAATGAAGTGCTGGCAAGCATCCCTGAACATCACAGAGCTGGAGCATTCAAGGAACTAGATCTGGATAAAGAAAAGCTGAAAGAACAAATAACAGTTGAGTCTGCACTTGGACTCCACTGGGATACTCTCAGTGATACCTTCAGCTTTAAAGTCACCATCAGGAGTCGACCTGCTACCAGAAGAGGTATACTCTCCACAGTGAGTTCAGTATACGACCCATTAGGATTCCTTTCTCCTTTCATCTTGAAAGCCAAACAGTTACTTCAGGAACTCTGCAAATCCAAGTATGGATGGGATAATGTCATTCCCCAGGAATTTGCAAAGCCTTGGCAAAGATGGCTCAAGGAGTTAAATCTGCTACATGACTTTCAAGTTGCAAGATGCATGAAGCCTGAAAACTTTGATCCCGTGGAAACTGCTGAACTGCATCACTTTTGTGATGCAAGTGAGTCAGGCTATGGTACAGTAAGCTACCTCAGATTAACAAATCACCAAGGTCAAATCCATATCTGCTTTATATTTGGAAAAGCTAGAGTGGCACCTCTAAAGCAGATGACCATACCCAGACTGGAACTAACAGCAGCAACATTGGCTGTTAAGGTGGATCGAATGCTAAAGAAGGAGCTGCATTTACCACTTTCTGATTCAACTTTCTGGACAGATAGTACCTCTGTCTTGAAATATATTCACAATCAAACTAAAAGATTTCACACTTTTGTATCCAACAGGATTGCTGTAATCCATGACCTCTCCCACACCAGCCAGTGGAGATACATAAGTTCAAAAGTCAACCCAGCCGACGACGCATCAAGAGGGCTATATGTAGAATCTTTCTTAAGATCAAAATGGCTGACTGGTCCTGAATATCTCAGCAGAGAAAAAGGAACATGGCCGAAACACACAGAAGGTCTGAAAGAAATACCAGCGAACGATCCAGAAGTGAGAAAGGAGATCACAGTTAACAGTGTGATAATGGAGGATCAACATCCAATATGCAAGATGATAAAGTATCATTCATCATGGAACCGACTTCAGAAGTCTGTAGCCTGGGTATTAAAGGTTAAAAGACATCTTCTACTGCTAAGCCAGCAAAGAAAGTCAAACTCACCTGTCTTCAGAAGTGATGAAAAAGTTGGAAAATCAACACGAGACGCAATACTTATCAGTGGAGGACATGCAGAATGCAGAGAAAGCAATCATTTGTTTTGAACAAAAACGCTACTTTCCCTGTGAATTTACTTGCTTGGAACAAGGCAAACCTCTCAGATCAAGAAGTACCATCCTCAAACTGGATCCGATGCTCGATGGTGGCATCTTGAGAGTTGGTGGTAGGATAAACAAAAGCGCAATGCCATTCCACCAGAAAAACCCGATCATTCTACCTAAAGGTTCACATTTATCTAACCTCATCCTACAACAAATTCATCACCAAGTTGGACATTCAGGAAGGAGCCACATGCTCTCCAAGCTAAGGCAGAAATTCTGGCTCCCTCATGCAAACTCCTTAGCCAGAAAAATCATCAAGAGCTGTGTATTCTGTAGACGCATGCAGGCAAAACCTGGTGAACAGAAGATGTCAGACCTTCCTGAGGACCGTTTATTTCCAGACCTACCTCCTTTCAGTCATGTTGGCATTGACTACTTTGGTCCTATTGAAGTAAAAAGGGGACGAGCTCAGGTGAAACGATGGGGCGTCATATTCACCTGTCTGGTGAGTCGAGCTGTCCACCTAGAGATGGCAAACTTCTTAACAACAGATTCATGCATAAATGCTATACGCAGATTCATCTGCAGAAGAGGATCAGTGATGAGCATCAGAACAGACTGTGGGACAAACTTTGTGGGAGCACAAAAGGAATTACAAGAAGCATTAAAAGAGCTAAATCATCAGAAAATCCAAAAGACCCTTTTAGTAGAGGGAATAAAATGGATTTTTAACCCACCTTTTGGGGCTCACCATGGTGGAGTCTGGGAAAGACTAATACGTCTAATCAAGAAGACCCTCACATCTGTCCTTAAGGAACAAACACTGGATGATGAAACCCTGTCAACAGCACTATGTGAAGTGGAAGCCATCCTAAATGACAGGCCAATAACTTCAGTGTCGAATGACCCTAATGATTTAGAACCACTAACACCAAACCATTTACTCCAGCTGAAAGGAAAAGCAACCTTACCACCAGGAGTCTTTGAGAAAACAGATCAATATTCAAGAAGAAGATGGAGACAATCACAGTATCTTGCAGATCTTTTCTGGAGACGTTGGACAAGGGAGTATCTTCCACTTATGCAAGAACGAAGCAAGTGGAACAGCAAAAGGAGGAACTTCAGCCCTGGAGATCTGGTTGTTATTGTGGATAACTCAGCACCAAGGAGCGCATGGACAATGGGTCGTGTGATAAGGATTTTTCCAGATGCCAAAGGTTTTGTTAGAAGCGTTTTGGTTAAAACCAAAGCCAAAGTCATCCAGCGACCAATAGATAAGCTCTGTCTTTTAATGGAGGCAGCTGGATGAAATAAGACTTTCTATGGACTGCTTTAAGCATTAGAAATGTTGAGAAGCTCTAGGTAACATTTATGGACAAAAGAATGAAGTTTATGTAATGTTTTTGCTAGATGTTAGGCTCCTGTGAATATTATTTTTGTAATTGTTATTTTGCTAAGGCTAACAATTAGGGGCCGGGATGTTGGAGCCTATTAAGAATTAGATTCATTTATCTTTTGCAAAATTATTAATGTTAAAGAGCTAAGGTTATGTGAATGGTAGAGTTATTGTTTATTTGTTTATGTATTTGTTTTGCTTTGACCCTCCTCCTTGTCAGTCCGCCTCCTGCTGAGATTAACAAGTAGAAGCAGCTGATGAGGTGGAGCTGATTGTTTGTTTGAAGGAGTGAGGAGTGCAACAGTTTTTTCACACACATCACTTAACTTTATATTTGAATTTTTGTAAGTCAACTCTGAGAATATTTCTGTTATTTTTTATTAGTAAAGAAAACACCCTTATTTTGAAACAAGAAAATTCTCCACGAGTGCTTTTTGTTTTGTGAGTCGAAAAACCTCCTCCTAAGACTACTCTGGCAATTTTTGATTTTTTTGGAAACTTTTTTGAAGCAAGAGTAGCCGCAACAGTATGGAAGAACTAATGAATTGCAGAGGATATGATGTCGTAATTACTGACATTCATCGACTGTTTTAATAACATTATACTTCAAAGTTGTGATTTTCCTCCCTCCTTCAGGATTGTGTCAGTCGAGCTTCCATCTGGTGCTCGTAAGTTTGGGGTGCAGTTCCGCTGGTGGCAGCCATACCATTCGGGACGTGGCCACGATGTTTGGGCTTTGGATGAAATCAGCATGACCTCTGTTCTGTTCAACACCATCAGTCTTGACTTCAGCAACGTGCTTGATGTCACTCAGAGTCTGGGCTTTTATCTTGGCAATGTGCAGCCGTACTGCCAGCATGACTGGACTCTCAGGTATCTAGTATTCTCATACACACCAAACTTACACTATTATATGGAAATAGTGTTCAACAATATTAAAATGCTGATTCGCATTCTCATTTTCCCTGTTTGTTTGTATAATTTTTCAGTTTCTCCGGCGAGCCTAGTCCTGGCTTTAGCATCCGTTATGTGGAAACACAGTCAATGCAAATCGGCGCCTCCTACAGTCTGCAGTTCTCCTTGGTGATGGGTTGTGGCCGTGAGCCGTCACCTCACATCGACACCCAGGTCCGTCTGGAGTTCTCCACCAATCACGGCCTCACCTGGCACCTGGTCAAGGAGGTAAGTGCTTATTTACCATCACACTACCAAGAACTTCCCACCATCACACTGCATAGAGAAAGGGATAGAAATAATTTATTCATGATTATGAATATTGATTTTTTTTTTTTTCATTACAGCACCAGAGATAATATGTAAATAATGAGCCTAATTGGCATTTTGTTTTAAATGACAAATCATCACAATTAGTTTTAATCACTTTGCTATCAGCAAATACATAGCTGTACTTGAATGGGCCGGCAGATTATCTTCCCAGGATTCAACGAGGATTTTTTGTAATTATAACGGCCACATAAATATTCAAAGAGGGCAAAAGTATCTGCTGTGATATTTTTTATTGCTTTTGGAACTTAACAGACCATAATGACTCTCTCTTCTTCATCACTGGCTTTCATTCTCTTGTCTGCATGAAGATCTATTCATCTTGCAAGTACAGATTGTAACTCACTAAGTGCTTTGTTGAGTTAATCCATGCTGATCTTTCAGTGCTCAAGGTCAACTATACTGTAATTCAGCAAGAACCTTTTATTCCCATATAAGACTGTAGGAAACCTTTTATGCATGATGCTGTTTTTGAGAATGTTTCAGAAATTCTCAGTGTGCCAATATAACCCCTCTGGTAAATATATCAAACAAATCTAAAAATGTACTTTGTTTTTCTTAGGCCTGTCTACCTGGCATGCCGAGCTGTTCGGAGTTTACAGCTCCCAGTGTTTACCATCCCTCAGAGTTCAAAGACTGGAGACGTGTTACGCTTTCTTTGCCTCAGAAGACGTGGTAAGTACTATTCACAAAAACAGAGGAAAAGACTCGCTGCCCTTTGGGATTAAACGTTCTCTGATCTTGATTTTGCCATGTTTTTCTTTTTGTTTTTGTGTTTTGTGTGTGTGAATAAAAAGCATAGGGAGCTTTGAAACCAGTCAGGTCAATTACAGAAACAAGAAACTACAGAGAATGAAAAGATTTGCATTTTCTGCTATCAGTGGCTGCAGGTCTTAATAAAAATGCACAATCATCCTATATCTACTCCAAATACTTTTTTTTTTATAAACTTTTTTATTATTTTAAAGAGAAACAGGTACATTAGTCCGATAAAGGTAAAAGGGGTATATTACAACCTGATACAACAGAAAGGAAACCCCAAATACTTATTCACATTAAAATATTTATATCCCTTGAACTTTTACAATAAAAACCACAAAGTTGAACTTTCAATATGTATTATATGTAGTTTTGCTAATCTGTTTTTCAACAAAATACAGTAAGGTCCAGATGTGACCTGGAAGAAAGTTGATTTGGTAGATTCTACTGAAAAAAAATGCAAACTGGGTGCATATATATGTATTTTGCTCCCATAGGCTGTAGGGTTGCCACGATACTAAACTTTTCAACTCGATACCGATACTAAGGAAAATATTCGATACTCGATACCATTTTCGATACCACAAGAATAAAAACTCCAAATTTCAACAGAAATATTTTGATTAATAATTAAAATACAATAAATAAATAAATACAATAAACAATAAGAACAATATTTTGAGGTTGTATGCTGTGCACAATATTAAGCAAGCTTGATAAAAAACTTACAAAATTAAAATTAAGTGTTCCTTCCTTGGCTATGCTTTGCACACCTAACAATGACACTAGCCAAACCAGTTAAGAAACAAAAATAATTCTCAGCAGCTGCACCTGTCGCAAAAAAAAAGTCTGAAACTGAAAAGTGCAGAGAATTATTCAATCACACAGTGTTCTGAAAGTGCATTGTCCTCTATTCTCTACTTTAGATGAATGACTGTTTAGGTGCCACTGGTGGTGGCACTGTATTGATACTTTTAGAAATGAGTATTGTATCCGGATACAACGTTTCAGTATCAATGCTTTTTTGAGTATCGATACTTTTGACAACCCTAATAGGCTGATAACCTGACTTAAATCAGTGGCAATCTAACTTTTGACACCAACCAAGGAGTCAGTTCCAACAGCTCTCAGAGCAACATGTAGTCGGAGCGCCGCTGTTTCAACGTCGTATACAAACCAGTCTCCAGGACCTTAGATTACAGACAGCAAAAAAACCTGAGTCTGGGTCACTAGTTCACTTTCCAATAGATCAACCGTGAATTTGCTGCCAACTGAAAAATATAATGCAACCGCTTTTGGCATTTACTCAGTCATATTCAGTTACTCTAACACAACTGTTTTATGTCTTACCTTGCTAATATAAAACAATTGTGTTAAAGTCCAATCCAATCCAATCCAATCCACTTTATTTATATCGCACGGTTTAAATAAACACAAGGTTTCCAAAGTGCTGCACAAAAAGATAAAATAACTAAAATAAATAAAAGTAAATAAGATAAAATAAAAGCACTGCCCGCACAGGATAAAAATATGCATGTGTACACATAAAATCAACACTCTACATGTGAAGTATCTAAATATGATTAAGTAAATGCCAAAAATGGTTGCATTATTTTTTTCAGATGAAAAAATAGAACAGAATAGAATACAATAAACTAAAAAATCCCTTTATTGTCCCACAATGAAAAGATTAAAGAAAAAAATATGGTCACACAAAATTTATAAAAATAACATACAATAAAATACTGTACTGTAAAGTGTTTTAACAATAAATATTGTGCACCTTCAAAATAAATAAACAATATACAGCTATAGACATTTTTACAGTAATGGATATTTAAAAAAAAATGTATATATTTGAAATATTTGAAAATAATAATAAAAACACATAATGTCTTAGAATGACAGAGTTAACCGCCAGACCTTAATACTACTTAATCTGTGGCCAAACTTGCTGCTCATAGAATCGTTAACTAGATCGCAAAGAAAAAGTGCAAAGAGCTGCGGCATGATCATAAAATGTATTCTTTGGTTCGGAGGATAAATTGTCCTTTAGCTCCCAGTTTTACAGCACCTAATGCTATAAATAATGTTCTGTGACAGCCGTAGCTCACACATATATCAGCTCAAATATTCATATAAACCTTCCCCTCTTAACACCGTGACCTCAAGCGCCATGTCATTCCGCCACCCTAACTCCTAAATAACTGCTCGGATCTCTTGCAGAACAGGATGACATGTCAGAAGGTCATGGCACTGATTGGTAATAAAACAGCTGTGTGCAGGTTGAATGAACACCAGACAATCTGATGTGGATCTATAAAGCAGCAGAGCCATATACCTCGTATATTCCATATTTATACCACACTATTTAACATATATCTTTCCTTTGAAGATTAAGAATTATGAAATCTAGCATATTATTATTTTTTTTTTTTGTAATTCAAGTTTTTATTGATTTTTTCAATTTTTAAAACATAAAAAAAAAAAAAAACATTACAATAAAAATAACAGAATAAAACAGTGAGGTTTAGTGCAAATCGTGGTTTGCTGCCTTAAAGTCCAAATCAATTTGTAGACATAAATGTGCAAAAACTGTCCCATTGTTGCATGGCTGCTTCATTATTAGAATGTATTCTTCCCAAGCAACAATTTCAGTCATTTTCTTAGTCCACATTCTAATTGTTGGGGTATGGGGATCCTTCCTAGCCTCGTGAGACCATCCTGATCTCGCGAGCTTTCAAGGTGTCACTCGCAGATCAGTCTGGAGACTCTCCGTTAAAGAAAATTTGGAGCCGTTCACCAAACGAACGTCCAATCAGCGTTGGCTTTGAGGCGGGTTGAGGTGTGACGCAACGAGAAGCGCGACAGTTCAGTCTAAAGAACATGGCGGCTTCAGCCGATGAAACTAGCGTTAGCGTGGCTATCGAGCAAGTTTTATCGGAATTACAGAGCAAAACACTGCTCTGGAGGCTTTTCTCAGAGGAAAAGATGTTTTTGCTCTTCTCCCTACTGGTTTCGGCAAGAGTAGCCTGGCTTGTGGTTGTGTTTTCGTCGTCGCTCTGTTAGTACGTCATATGCTTCGTTGATCTGATTGGTTTATTTGGCCAGTCTATCACCAACATAGGCCAATCAGCTAACCAGTATTTTCGCCCCTTCCAAAAATTACTTCAACGGAAGGTTTCCAGATGGATATGCAGAGCAAATCCATCTGGCGGAGTCAGGTTAGGTCCTTCCATAACTTTAAAATAAGTCGGGCACATGTGACCAGTGCAGTGCTCAACGCTCTAAAAGCATGTCTGTTTAACAATAGTACCTCACTTTTATCTCCAAGTAAACACAGTCTGGGTGATTTTGGCAAATAACAAGGCAAATCTATCATATTATTTATGACTAGATTTTGTTTTTAGATTTGAGGTAATGTTTTTTTTTTTATATAAATTCTAATCTCAGGTCGAGTGCCACCCGATTCAGATGGATCCAGAATTACTATGGAGAGCAAGACGAATGGGCCCTGGATGACATCTACATCGGCCAGCAGTGTCCCAACATGTGCCATGGACATGGGTGGTGCGACCACGGACATTGCAGGCTAGTCCTTCCGCCTGAATTGTAAATGTATGTTGGATGAAATTTAAATGTACAGCTGGATCAAAGTCAGTCTCTTGTCTTGTGCAGGTGTGATGACGGGTTCTCCGGACAGGACTGCCAGCCATCGTCCCCACTCTCCTCAAGTGTCCTCTCAGACTTTGAGTCCCAAGACGCACTACTAGCCACGTGGCAGGAGGTGATTGGTGGAGAGGTGGTGGCAGCTGACATGGGCTGTGGGGTTGTCTCATCTGGATCATCCCTCTACTTCAGCAAGGTAAACAAATGAGAAATATTGTTTTTATGCTTTATCGTTTCAAGACAAAATATAGATCAAGATGGAACATGTTGTAAATTTATGTGATTAAATTTAATAGATTTGGATAACTGTCCAATCTTGGCTAACGCAGGCATTGTCTGATTGCTGTCCAGTCTTCTTTGCCAAGATCCACTGGTCTCTGAACTCTCATGATTTTCTCATAAAATAAATCTCTATAGAGTTTATGAATCTGATTGGATAGGGGATGTGCACCACTTTAAGGTGATTACACAGCTGTTAACACTGCTTTTAGTAGATTGTAAATCAGGCTTCCTAGCTGCAGCTGCATTATTTTATTAGTGCCATACAGGATGTTTTTAGTTTCAGTACTGATAACAAATTCACAATTATGGATTAATGATAAGGTTTCTATTCATTTCAGTTCTGTTTATTTATATAGCGCCAATTCACAACACATGTCATCTCAAGGTACTTTACAATTCAACAAGATCATCCAGTCAAATTGATTCAAAGTTTTCTATGTAAGGAAAACCAGTTGATTGCATCGACTCATTGACTCAAAGGCAATCCCTCACACTTAGCATGCTTGTAGTGACAGTAGAGAGGAAAAATTCCCTTTTAACAGGAAGAAACCTCCAGCAGAACCAGAGTCAGCGTAAGCGGCCATCTGTCAAGTCCGACTGGGATTCAAGGAAACAGAAGCAGACAGAGAATAAGCAGAGATACAAAAGGAACTTGTCAACCAGCTCATAGGCGGCCCCGTCCAGGAAGACACAGCCAGGCAGACAAGCTCCGAGCCAGCCCCTACGTCAGAAGACAAAAAGTGCACATCCTGTTAGTCACAGTCAGAGAAAAAGGGCTACACTGAAAAACAGGCTGATCTCCAACATCTATAAACAAAGGCGTTGATGGCAGCAGCACAGCTGATATTTCTCTCCAGGATGGAGTCACAGCCAAACAGGAACAGACCAGATGAAGCTACTATGAGAAAAAGCAGAGAGAGCAGAACGTTAGAGATTGAACTAACAGATTCTGCAGAGTGGGAGAATAGAGATAGAATGAAGCAGAATGATGAAAAAGGGGTCCCTATGTCCTCTAGCAGTCTAAGCCTATAGAAGCATAACTAAAGAGATAGCTTAGCTATAAGTTTTAAGTCTACCTCTAAAAGATGACAGGGTGTCTGCCTCACGGACTAAAACTGGTAGTTGGTTCCACAGGAGAGGAACCTGATAACTAAAAGATCTGCCTCCGATTCTTCTTTATTCAGATTACTATAGTCTTCAATATCTTTGGGGAATTCCAAAATACAGGATCTTAAATTCACTTTTGGCTTTTTTTTCTATCTAATGTTCAAAGAAGCACACATACTAATCCAATCGAGTATTTTTCTCGGTCAGCAGCAGAGGTGGACAATCCAGGTCTACAGAGTAAAAATCCGATTAGTTCTAAGCATTTGCATTTCCAGATCCACAACATAAACATGGACTAATCACCTGGTGAAGTGCACCTAATAAAGGAAAACTAAGCAGGTTTTTTTAACCCTCTGGACCTGGATTAACCAGTTCTCCTCAGTCTGATCTGTTAAACCAAACTTACTGTGGTCAGGTAAGCAACTGTTTCAACATCTTTGGGTTCGTGATTGACTTAAGCCATAATGGTTTCTAAGCTCTTCTGAAACGTATCAACTATTTGGCTGTTGGTTCCAACACCTACAAAAACATGTAGTCTCTTAACAACTGGCTTCAGGACATTTATCTCATTTCCCTCTGAGAAGAATGCCTTACCATTAATTGTGATGATTGTCATGTCCGGATTTCTATTTGAAACTCACAAGTTTATGTAAGGTAACCTGAATAAATCTGACTATTTGCACGTTATTGTCAGGCTGGGCTGAGGCAGCTGGTGAGCTGGGATTTGGATACAGAATGGGCAGAGTTTGTTCAGTTCTACCTACGGGTTGGAGGAGACTGGGCAGAGTGCAACCAGGCAGACAGCAGGGAGGAAGGAGTCCTTCTGCAGTACAGCAACGATGGAGGAATCAGCTGGGGTCTCATCGCTGAGATGTACTTCACAGACTTCACCAAACCTCGGCGAGACAGAAATAACCAAAGAAATTTAACTCAGCTGTTTAGTGTTAGATGTTCCAAAATAATTGTCCTCTTACTCATTTTGCAGATTTGTGCATTACGAACTTCCCCTTGCTTCTAAAACACCCTCCACCCGGTTTCGCTGGTGGCAGCCTCTTCATTCTGGGGAAGGGTACGACCAATGGGCAATCGATGACGTCATCATTTTGTCTGAGAGAGAGAAACACATTATCCCAATGGCCAATCCAACTCTGCCGCAGGTCAGGTTCTAACATTTGATCAACCTATTTTGTTATATCTGCTCTAGCAATGCGAACAAGGTTTGGTTAATTCTCAGGACTCAGGAATGTATTTTCTTTTCTTATTTCAATCATGTTCAATGAAAAAGATAAATACAAGATACATTTCTTTATTTAACCAGGTAAACCCCGTTGAGATCTGGATCTCATTTTCAAGGGGGACCTGGGCAGAGATCTACAATACACTGCAACCTGGTTACAAAAATGAAACCAATGAATACATATGCGCAAATATAAAACAATAAAAACTATTTAAAAGCAGTGACACTGTTTCAAAGAAGCTTGTTGTCTATCTTTAAGAACCGCTCGAAATAAGTCCAATGAAATATTGTCTGACATCTTGAGCTCAGACTGGAGCGGATTCCACGCCGTAGGAGCCAACACACTGAATGCTTTCTTTCCTTTATCAGTTCGAACAAGAGGAACATGTTCCATCTGGAAACCTTCCGTTGAAGTAATTTTGGGAAGGGGCGAAAATACCGGTTAGCTGATAGGCCTATGTTGGCGATAGACGGGCCAAATAAACCAATCAGATCAACAAAGCATATGACGTACTAACAGAGCGACGACGAAGAAGAGCCAATTGATAGATCCAACTCTTGCCAAAACCGAAGCTTCCAGAGCAGTGTTTTGCTCTTCTTTCAGTGAAGAAATACTCTGTAATTCCGATAAAACTTGCTCGAGAGCCACGCTAACGCTAGTTTCATCGGCTGAAGCCGCCATGTTCTTTAGACTGAACTGTTGCGCTTCTCGTTGCGTCACACCTCAACCCGCCTCAAAGCCAACGCTGATTGGACGTTCGTTTGGTGAACGGCTACAAATTTTCTTTAACGGAGAGTCTCCAGACTGATTAGCGAGTGAAACCTTGAAAGCTCGCAAGATCAGGATGGTCTCACAAGGCTAGTTATTTACTACTCTTAACTCAAACTGGGTAAAACCATATAAAAAAGGACTATAAAAACAGGAATAAAAAAGTAACAGAGTTTTTTCCAGATCAGGTCGTTACAGGACAGAGAAAAATGCTTGGAGCTTGCACAGCTGTGGGCTCAAAAATCCCATCCTCGAGCGTCCAAACATTCTTCCCTAACAAGCTTCTTCAAATATGCCTGCATATGTGAAACCCATGGATATGTATTTATACTGTAGTATACCCACTTTAAAAGAAACTACTTAATTATTTGAGTGTTTTTTCCAAAACCAAACAATTCAGATGTAAAATGAGAACTACATTGCCTTGAGTGTATTTGGATTAATGTTTAATTGTTTATATACCAGTGTGAAATACTAATTAATAATGATTTAGTTATCGGCTGACGTATTTTTGTTGTTGTTTTCTATCACATCATTGATCTAGATCTTTCTGTTTCAAAATAGTTTTTCTTTTCTTTCACTTTTTAGGCTTTTTTTTCTATTTTTTTTAGCAATGCATTTATTTCCTATTTTTATCATCCCTAAAAGCTTTTCCACGGCGTCAGTGCATAAGAATGTTAACACAGGAGATATTCAGTACTTTTGATTCCCAATATATTTTACTCACATTTATTATAAATAGATTATGTCCTAGCTATTACTTTTCTGGCATCCCATTGGTAATGTCTACAAATTTTTGTGGAATTCTAGCATTCTGTTTTAGCTTTTTATATCCATGAAATAAATTTGGTATGCTTAGACTGCCAGCGAAAAAAAGCCAAACAGCTGTAACAAATTCAAATATGTCTGTTTGTTTTGGAAGAAATCCTCTCCAGATCCAGATATATTTTACTAGAAAACACAACAGTGATCATGTGATTATGTCCACAGAACTTTTATGAGAAGCCGGCTTTTGACTACCCTCTGAATCAGATGAGTGTTTGGTTGATGCTTGGCAATGAAGGCATGGAGAGGGACAACAACAATAGTTTCTGTGCTCCGACTCCTTCTGCCATGGTGTTTGGACGCTCCGATGGAGACAGGGTGGCTGTTACAAGGGACCTGGCCCTCCGCCCTGGTTACACCCTTCAGTTTAAGGTTGGGGAGAATTTATTCAATAACATCATGTATAAGTAAATACACAAAATAAACATTTTCAATGATGATCTTTTACTATTTTAATTTATCCTTGTAGTTAAACATAGGCTGTGAATCAGAATTCAGCGCCTCTGCCCCGGTCCTGCTGCAATACTCCCATGATGCAGGCAGAACATGGGCTCTGGTCCGAGAGGGCTGTTACCCTGGAACCCCAGGAACAGGCGTCTGTGAAGGCAGCGGCCGTGAGCTGAGAGAACCCACCATCTACAACACCGGGGACTACGAACAGTGGACCAGGATCACAGTGGTCATACCGCGGAATGTTGCAGCCAGGTAACTCTGGCCACAGATATGTATACACTCACCGGCCACTTTATTAGGTACCCCATGCTAGTAACGGGTTGGACCCCCTTTTGCCTTCAGAACTGCCTCAATTCTTCGTGGCATAGATTCAACAAGGTGCTGGAAGCTTTCCTCAGGGAGTTTGGTCCATATTGACATGATGGCATCACACAGTTGCCGCAGATTTGTCGGCTGCACATCCATGATGCGAATCTCCCGTTCCACCACATCCCAAAGATGCTCTATTGGATTGAGATCTGGTGACTGTGGAGGCCATTTGAGTACAGTGAACTCATTGTCATGTTCAAGAAACCAGTCTGAGATGATTCCAGCTTTATGACATGGCGCATTATCCTGCTGAAAGTAGCCATCAGAAGTTGGGTACATTGTGGTCATAAAGGGATGGACATGGTCAGCAACAATGCTCAGGTAGGCTGTGGCGTTGCAACGATGCTCAATTGGTACCAAGGGGCCCAAAGAGTGCCAAGAAAATATTCCCCACACCATGACACCACCACCACCAGCCTGAACCGTTGATACAAGGCAGGATGGATCCATGCTTTCATGTTGTAGACGCCAAATTCTGACCCTACCATCCGAATGTCGCAGCAGAAATCGAGACTCATCAGACCAGGCAACGTTTTTCCAACCTTCTATTGTTCAATTTCGATGAGCTTGTGCAAATTGTAGCCTCAGTTTCCTGTTCTTAGCTGAAAGGAGTGGCACCCGGTGTGGTCTTCTGCTGCTGTAGCCCATCTGCCTCAAAGTTCCACGTACTGTGCGTTCAGAGATGCTCTTCTGCCCACCTTGGTGGTAACGGGTGGTTATTTGAGTCACTGTTGCCCTTCTATCAGCTCCAACCAGTCTGGCCATTCTCCTTTGACCTCTGGCATCAACAAGGCATTTCCGCCCACAGAACTGCCGCTCACTGGATGTTTTTTCTTTTTCGGACCATTCTCTGTAAACCCTAGAGATGGTTGTGCGTGAAAATCCCAGTAGATCAGCAGTTTCTGAAATACTCAGACCAGCCCTTCTGGGACCAACAATCATGCCACGTTCAAAGTCACTCAAATCACCTTTCTTCCCCATACTGATGCTCGGTTTGAACTGCAGGAGATTGTCTTGACCATGTCTACATGCCTAAATGCACTGAGTTGCCGCCATGTGATTGGCTGCTTAGAAATTAAGTGTTAACGAGCAGTTGGACAGGTGTACCTAATAAAGTGGCCGGTGAGTGTGTATATATATATATATATATATATATATATATATATATATATACAGTGTTGTATAGTGACGAAGTAAAAATACTGTACTTAAATATATTTTCGAGTACTTTATACTTTCCAAGAGTATACATTTTTTTGAGAACTTTCACTTTTACTTCACTACATTTACGAACTTAATTGCATACTTTTACTCCGATACATTTTCAATGTTTGGTTTAGCCCCTTGAACCCTACGGACCCACCGGCGGGTCCAGCTGCTACATGACCTCGTAGTTTTACCAAACCCCCAGTATTGATTTAAAAAACATATTTGGCACAGTTTGGTGACATTTATGGATAAATGTGCCAAAATGGCCTCTCCGCCTAAGAAATTTCTCACTAATACCATTCTAAAATAAATATGATTCATCTGATTGAGTCCAAATTTGGTATATTTTTACACAACATTTAGATTTGAAAGTCTGTACTACTTTTTTGTGCTATAAATACTATTTTGGTAGTGTTTTGCAATGTTTATTTCAAAGAAAATTTTGGCGAGGTTCAAAAAATGCAAAATATTTTGTATTTTGTCCCTAATATTTCAGGCAGGGTCAAAGCTACAATGGTGCTGACACCAGAAAACCATTCTATGACATCTTACCTTTACAGACATACCAAAAGTTTCTTCTTAAATCTAATAGCTTTGAGGCTATAAGTTATTTACTTTTGTGTGTTTTTGTCAGGCAGAAATTTATTTATACCCCCTTAGGGTGCAAGAGGTTAGTTACTAAGTAAAAAAAAAAGAAAAAAAAAAACGAGTGAGAGAAACACAAGTGTTTGAACCCCACCTACTGACAACAAAGTCGGGTCTTGCCTGGGCTTGTTCATCAACACCAATAGGATACGCCTGTTTCACAAAGCCAGTCTAAATTTATCCTACACTTGGTTGTTTATATTATTATTAAGTTAATTTAACCTTCAAAGTTAAGTGTAACTTTTAGTAGTGTAGTACTAAAAAACTGTAACTGAGAAAAAGTATCTTTACTTTGCCTAAATTCTACTTGGAGTAAAAGTAAAATTACCCATCTCAAAATTTACTCAAGTAAAAGTACAAAATTACTTCATTTAAAATGTAATTTGAATAAAAGTTACTTAGTTACTTTGAGTTATTTAATGCAAAAAAGGATGAGTCATGAATCGAATTGACCACAAGGTGTTTTAATCGATTTCAATGCGTATTTCAGTGGACATCCACACTTGCAAAAGATCAGCTGAACTAAAGAACATACTTCCTCACAGCACAAGGACAGTCACAACCTGTACCATAAAGTGCAAACAATTTTCAGTCCTACTGTCCAACAGACAACACCATGTTAGGAATGAAGAAATTTAAACTACATTTTAAAGTTTTCAAAATGCACACAAAATTAAATGCCCAAAAGATACCAGAAATCAAACTAAAACGCAACAGGATGCCACTGTTATTAACAAGCTCCTCATTTAATGATTTTAACTGACACTTGTTTTTACATCAATTGTTTATATGTTTGAATTGTGTAAATAAAGTGCTGTTAAAAGTCAAAGTCTTCTATTTTTTAATGGCGATTAAGTGTCGGTTCCGTAACACAGGGGTTTAAATTTCCGGCCGCATTAAATTTTTTCACCATCAGTATTTTATTTTATTTTTTTTTACTCAG